CAGGAAAGGTAAAAAGTGATAAAGAAATAGTGTTTATTTGGAATTACTCACCAAAGATGGGGTGACTCATTCTCATAAGCTTTCAAAGATCCAAAGTGTTTTCTATTATTCGTTCGCATCTTGAGAAAGGGTTCTAAAGGTTTATTGAAGATGTATATATGAATATCTCGCGCACTTACTTACGGCAAACTTCGAAGCGACGTGTGAACATTGCTGGGTGGTTAATGGAGTGAAGTAATATAGAGAAGACAGGAACAACTTATTGGATATATGGATTGTGTAGAATTTCCTTTGTTATCTCCCCAATATGACTCATCCTTTATAAGAAAGGAGAGTTGAATTTAGCACGCAGTAGGTGGTTTTCATAGGATGGGATTAATTTTGCATAATGGCTTTTTGGAAAATACTATTATAGTCAGATTTTAGGCATGTTGTAATGAAGTTCTGTTTGTTTGTAAAGATGTATTAAAAATGGAATTTCTATTTGAAAATCTCTGCATATTAACCGTCAAGCTACATGAATTCTCTGTTGATGAAGCCCCTTTGTCATTTTAAGGTAAATGTTACATTATCTCTTGTGAACAAACCAGTGGATGAACATGGAAAACAAATACAAGAGCCAGCATATGAGCTAAATAACGAAGGAGAGGATGAAGTATTCCTCTTTGACAACGAGGTACTAGAGTTGGAACCTTTTCTGGTCGAGGATAGCACACAAACAGAGCTTAGAATGCACAAAAATGTAAGCTGTCATACATATTGCTACTCTTCTAAATCTAATTTTTTTATGCTTCATTAATCTATATAGCTAAGAATTAACAAGATTATTCTACACATCATTTTTGTAGGAGCACTGCCAAACCATTCTCGGAGTGCTAAAAGATATAAAACTGTGGGAAGCTTTTGAAGAAGAGAAGCCACATTTGGTATCAGAAGCGCAGCGGAAGGCGAAACCACTTACATGCAACTTTGGCGTACAAGCGATCTCCACCATGGTAGGCTTTGAAAGTGCTAGGCCGATCAGTAGCATGTAGTACGAATTTTCTTTTAAGAAGGACTGTGAAGTGCAAAGCACGAGAGAAATCGTGGATGATGTGAATACTGTTTCTGCTGATTGTCAAACTCAAACTAATGTGATATTGTGCTCAAGG